AAACATGCATAATTATTTAATTTTATATGTTTAATAAATCCTGAAATTTCCTAAGCATGTACAGAAACACGAATCAAAGGGAAAGAGATAGAAGAAGAACTTGCCTTAAACTTTCGAATCGAAAGTTAAACTTCTTCTTCCTTAATCTTCTCTCTACAGGGTTTTCTCCTCCTTCCTTCCTCTTTCTCCTTCTCTCTCTAATTCTTTCTCTATAGAATATATTACGTGATATAATTTCACTCCTTTTTCAACCTATAGTTGTGTATTTATAGGCTAAATAATAACCCTATTCCTTTTCCCAATCCAAGTCAACTTAATAAAGAAAAATAAAAAATGAAAATTTTGAAAAGGTAACTTAAAATATGTTACGTATATAATCTATGTATATCCTTATTAATTAAATAAAATATATACATTAGATTATTTATTAATACTAAAGTTACCATAATATTAAAAGGTAACTTAAAACATGTTACGTTTATAATCTATCTATATCCTCATTAAATAAATAAAATATATACATCAGATTATTTATTTATACTAAAATTACCACAATATTAAAAAGTAACTTAAAACATGTTACGTATATAATCTATCTGTATCTTCATTAAATAAATAAAATATATACATCAGATTATTTATTAATACTAAAGTTACTATAATATTAATAAATTACTCTCCATTTTTATATATATGTATATATATATATATATCTATATATATACATATACAACTATCCATGGGTAATTATCCATACCCATCCAACCTCCTATCCAAGTAGTCCATGGGACCCAATTAGTTAGCCTATTACCACTAACCATAACCATAAAATAAAACATTTAATCATTTAATTTACAATTAATTACAATTAATTAAATATATTATTTAAGCACCCAATCTAATTAAACGAATAATACAAATAATACCTAGACAAAATACAAATAACACATAGATAAGTAACCAATTAATCAAGTAACACTTAATTTAATTAAACACATAAACAATTAGTCAAATAATCAATTAAACAATTAAAAAAAATATAATAAAAATAAATAAATAAATACCGAGATTATCCTTTTAAAATTAAGAGTATTACACCTGCCACATAGGAAATTTGAACGACAGTTCAATATATATACATACACGTTGGTGTAACCATTAATTATGTGATGGCGGATCAAAAGGCAAAATATGAGTGCTTGGGTTGGGTGACTAAAAAAGCAGTGGACAATGAAAACTCAAAAAGTAGTGGATGATGCGCCTACCTTGCAAAGGGAAGAGAATATTGTGAGGTACATTATCCTCTAGCAAAAGGTTTATGAGTGATGACTACCCTCTCTAATCCTCATAAATTTCTTTACTGTTGTGGGTTTCATCTTCTTGATCGTTAACCTTCCTACATGGAGGAAAGTTAAGTTTGCCCATGGTAGGCACTATATGTATGTATGGCCATCGAACATGATGCACAGGGATATGATTATGATCGATAATTAACATCAATCAATCGTACTGATTTTAGTCATTTTGTATTGAGAAGCTACTTGGTTTTTCCATCCTAAAGGCCACCAGCCAAATTACACTGTGTACCGTAATTGATTATCTTCTCTTTCACCTACCGATTACCATGAATATATTGATCCATTACAGGTTATAGCATAATGATCAGTGTCATCATTTCATCCATCATTGTTGTCTTCATCATCATTATATCATCACTAGGCACTCATCACAATGGTCGATGTTAATTTACTTTTTAATTCTATCGGAAAAGCATGTTATATATATTTATAGGAGTATTGTTATTTCTTTTACTGATTGATCATATTTTTTTTTTTTTTTTGTTTTTTCGGAAAGTACTGATTGATCATATTATTATAGTAAAACCCTTGGATAGTTTAATAGTACGGTTTGAACCGTGACATCCAAGCACTATCACTTTCATGAAACAGGAGAGTTTCAACAAATTAATTAAGATGACGACATGATGTAGTCATGACATTATAAAGGATTATTATACAAACCTCATAAGCAACCTGCAGCTATCTTCTCAACCAATCACTAACATGAGGAGCTGCTACAGATAGCATCGAGGGGACTTAAAATTTGAGTACTAAAACACATCACAAAGCGTTTTTATTTATTTATTTATCCCTCTTTCCTCAACATACATATGACACAACTAGGGTTTGCTAACTTGGTAACAAGACTATTTAAGGGCCTAGGGTTTTCATATGGTAATCCATAACCCATTCAAGCAGCCGGTGCATAATCGTAGCCACCATCTCCATCATCATCGTCCCCGTCTCCATCACCTTCAGCGGATGCAGCCGGTGCATAATCATAGCCACCATCATCGTCGTCATCATCGCCATCTCCTTCCATCGGTTCTCTTTCTGGGTCATAAGCATAATCATCATGGTCATTCTCAACATGCATTTCACTATGCATCTTGGACCATGAGCATATCAACCCCAATTCCAGTGACATTTTGTTTTAGTTACAGAGAAAAATTGAAGCAAGATCAAGTGAGTAATGAAGAAATAGAACTTAGGAGGAGGTTGAGAGACACTGGAATGAGTACGAGATGGAAGTTATGTACTACGAGTATATAAAGAGAGGATACAGAAGGTGTTTTGGCCAGCTTGGCTGCGAATTGAGACATCCTCGTGGAGAAGGTGTGGCAGAATGGTGAGAAGTCTGTAGGGCACGTGAAAACATTTATATGGCAGAAGATGGAGTGACAAGCTAGATTTTTGTGTACGGATGAGCTTGATATTTGTTGGTGGAAAGCTACCAACGTTTTGTACTTTTTTTTTTTTCTTTTTCTAGTTAGCTTGGTGAAATGTAATAAAAGAACCAATTTATGTTACAAAAGAATATGTAATATAAGGTCCATGGACGGAGACTTTGGAAAAAGAATATGTAATTTAAGGTCCATGGACGGAGATGTTGGAAAAGATTGGGACCCATAATATGCATCTTTTATTTCATAGGATAAATTAAATGGATCTTTCCATATATAAGAGGAATTAATATTCAACATGGACATTTATTCGTTTTGAAAGGAACCACATAAGAAAAAGGAATAAATTAACATGGTAACAATATCTGACATCTAAATTATATAGCGAATTAGAATGAAGGGCATGAGAGATGTATATGTCAGATTGACATGCATGCATCTGATATTCATTTTCAAGTGTGTGTGTGTGTGTGTGTGTATGGCCTAGAAAGTCCAATATCAGAAATCCATGGACTTGGCCCGGTGGATATTTGAGAAGTGAGAACAAATGTTCCAAGATCCGCACCCAAGCCTTTTCTTCTTCTTCAATACGATACCAGTTCACTTCGTGCACTGAAATTTCAAAATTATTGCCAATTAGCTAAAATCAATATATATATATATATATACACACAGGGCCGGCCTTGAGATTAAAAAAATCTTGAGAGGCCCTACGCGAACTTTAAATGTGAGGCTCTCTATACATAAGAAGGCCCCATAATTTTTTATTTCTCTATATATTATAACTTTTCTAAAATAATTATAGTATTTTCTTTAAGTATTAAACTTCAACGTATAAAGAAATTTGACAGTTAACTTAAAAAATTTCTATTCTTTTTTTTATCAAAATGGTTGTATAAAATGGTTAAAAAATCAGTACCCAAGAATGACAAGGAGGCAGATTCTCCAAAGGAGAGAGAAATTGAATGGAGGAAGCGAAGTTTTCTTGCAATTAAAGATTCAAATATGGGATGGGTGAGAGAGAGAGAGACCTATGGAAAAAGAAGGGCCAGGCAAAGGACAAGAGAGGCGATGAAGACGTGGTAGCTGTGACCTCTGGGAGCGACTACTTTGAAGATTGTGCTTAGGCGATCATGACGATGATGATGGATTGATGCAGATGCGAATCATGCGATGCGAGTTACAAACCCGAACTGTGATTTGCGAATTGGAAGTCTGGATTTTGAAACAGAGAGAGAGAGGAACAGAAGAGTGAAGACGATGATGATGTGATGTTTTCAATTTTCTGGGTTTCGAACTTTTGATTTTTGAGGAACTTTTTTTTATTTTATTATTGTTGTAGTTGTAGTCTTGAAAAGTAAAGAGAGGGTAACCGAGTAACCTTGAGAATTGAGAGTCTATTGAGATTCTTGAGGACGAGGACGAGAGTTACGATGATGGAGATTGGCGGTTCAAATTATTATTATTATTATTTTTTTTTTTTTGAGGCCCTTTGTAGGGTTTCAATTTTTTTTTTTTTTATTGTTATTATTTATTTTATTTTTGTGGCCCATGAATCCCATCATTCATGGGCCTATAAATTTTGTGGTCCTTTAAAAGATTTACTGCATCTAGTTACAAATTTTTTTTTTATTTTTATTTGGTAACCCATCATGCATGGGCCTCAAAATTTTGAGGCCCCTTAAAATCTGAGGCCCTAGGCGACCGCCTTGGTAGCCTTGGGCCAGGGCTGGCCCTATATATATGTGTGTGTGTGTGTGTGTGTGTCCAGTAAAGTAATATTAAAGAAAATTAAATAATGATCACAAAATTGAACCATCAAATGAGATAATTTAAGAGGATATCTTTGAAATCCTTTTATATTATTTTCTCAATCATATAAAGGGAAAAAATAAATTTTCCTTCTTTTTCTCTTATTTTAAGTTCCATTTTTTTCTATTCTCTTCTCTTCTATAAGTTTATCCTTTTATCTAGAAATTATTGTATATCCTAGGAGTATCAACAATCATGTTTCCCCAACTAAATGGTGAGTTACTATTTCTTAAAATAAATAAATAAAGTGTATTCATCGGCCTGGTACTAGCGAATTTTTAAAATCATTATGATATCTTTCTTTCCTTCATTCACTCCCTTATCCCTCATCCCTTGTTCTTTTTACTTTTGTTCTTTTCTCTCTCTCTCTCTCTCTCAACCAAAGTAATTACAGTATTTATTGCTCTTTTCTCTTCCCTTCTATTCCTTTTTCAAATCCCCTCCAATGCCTTCCCTTCTCTTCCCTTTCCTCCCAAACCAAACACAAGGGTAACAAACATTGCCAAATGATTTTAAAGGCCATTCCTTCTCGACTCCCTAAAATCTCCAACAAATGCCCACGAATCATTTTGTGGCTAAGATTTAGTGTTACTTCATAGTCCAGTCCATACCAAGAGCCAGATCAACATGTATTATGTACTCTCTACACCCAAAACAAGTGGCTGTTGCACATATTTCAGACCATATTACCGGCTTAATTCCCGGCCTGTGTGTCAGCTCCCGGCGACGGCACATCACCAAACCCGCCGGAATTTATGTCTGTCCTCCCAAACAGTTTAGGAATGGAAACTTAGTGATTAAAACTGACCAAAAATTCAAGTGGGTCGTTAAACTTAGCTTAGTAGACCAAAGCCCGCCAAAATCAACAATCGATGCGAAACGCCTGGTGGACTTCTTGTACGAGGACCTACCACACCTCTTTGATGATCAAGGGATCGATCGGACGGCGTACGATGAACGCGTCAAGTTTCGGGACCCAATCACGAAGCATGACAGTATAAGTGGGTATCTCTTCAACATAGCCCTCTTAAAGACTCTCTTCACGCCTGATTTCCAGTTGCACTGGGTCAAACAGGTATGCTTTTCTACAGTATTGTGGTGTGTATATGCGCGTATACAATGTTTGTACTTACTCATAAGGATTACCAAGAAGATTTCTATGTTGGGTTTGATATCAAGAACCCAAATGAAGTATCAATTGGCAGATAAAAATGATGTTTTAAATGTAACACAATCTGATTGATTCTCTGTTTTCTAGTCTACCAGAAAGTGAACCCAGAATATCAGTTAGACTTTTTTTTTGGTTGGTTATTTCACTTATATAAATATTACTCAGATTCTGAATTTTGCTTTGCATGTTGTTATTAAAAAATAAAAATAAAAAAGATTTTGAAATTTGGCTTATACTGTATCCATTTTGCATGTGATCTGCCCTGTAATTGTAAAATTAGCTGCATAACACTTCAGGAATTGTTAGATGTCATTAAATCCCTCTTAGTTTATATAGCTTCTGAGAAGAAAATGTTCAATGCTGTATAAGTTATTTTTTAGGCTCTTTTATTTTTATTTTTCGGAGTTTGGCAAAGGTCTAGGTCGAGGTTGAGGTGAGTCTATCGGGTGGGGCATGTAAAATATTTTTTTCCCGTTCAAACAAACGGAGCCTTAGGAACAAAAATTTTCCTGTCATGATTACTCTAGTTGTTTTGCAACATGTGCATTTTTTTGTTTGTAGAATCTCCATTTTGAAAGATAAATTTATGACTTTGATTGATACAGATAAGATCCTATAATTTCATTTTCACAATCATCATAGGACTTGGATCATTAACATCTTTAGTGGGTAAGTCGAGAAGTGGTCGATCACACAATTCTTAAGGCAATATCTTAAAGAAAGGCATGATCATTTGGGATTAAATAGTTATGAATGTTGTAGAACTTCGAAGAAAGCTAAAAGATTTTGGTTTAAGTTTAACTTAGGATCCAATATTGATTTGTTAGAGTGCACGCGAAATCTGACAGAGGATCCAATCTAAACAAGATGCCTTGGTCTCCATGGTAGCCCCTTTTTTTCTTTTCTCTTTTTTTTTTTTTTTTTTTTTTTTATAATTTGTTTTTTTAGAAATTACTTCTTGTAATGGTCTCTATTATCTTGTATAACTTCATTGAGGATATATAGCACACGGATTTCATTACTTTCCTGGCACCTAATTTGTGTTTGTTTTGCAGGTTTTCCTACAATGAATTTAAGTTCAACTTGAGTTTTGTTTCTTTGACTGATTGAGTTGCTATAGACAGGACCTTATGAAATGACTACAAGGTGGACTATGGTAATGAGGTTCATCATTCTGCCATGGAAACCAGAATTGGTTTTCACAGGAACTTCTGTTATGGGCATCAACCCAGAGACAGAGAAGTTCTGCAGCCATGTGGTAAGATCCCTTTCTGTGCCATGTAAACAGGAATAATTTAGTATTATCAAAATTAGTGATTTACTCTTTCTTTTTGTACACATGTCGTAGGACTATTGGGATTCTATAGAGAAAAATGACTACTTTTCTCTAGAAGGTTTATGGGATGTAATAAAGCAGGTGATTACCATTATGTTTCTAAATTTTGCGAGTGCCACCGAGTGTCCCTTCTTATATGTATATTGTAATTCATTGCAGCTGCGGGTTTACAAGACTCCAGAACTGGAATCACCCAAATATCAGATACTGAAAAGGACTGCAAAATATGAGGTTTGTTTGGATTTCCTTGAATAAGTCTTGCTGCAATAATGCATTTCTATTATCTAGAATTATTTCTATTCAATTGACCGAAATTGAAGCAAAACACTACGCCTAATTTGTGGAACCAACCAGATAATGGAGTTATTAGTTTGGCAATCTATTAAGCCTGCAAACCGACAGCCCATTAATGTTGCTATGGTGTCTTCATCTTACTTATAACAGGTTTTGAACTGTTGAGTATTTCATGAGTAGTAACCAAGTTTTTTTCAACTCGAATTTTTTGGTCATCGTTTATTTTATTACTATTGCCTTCTTGATATTTATGCGCTCGTGTAAGGACTTCTGACTACTGGGAATAACTTATTCTGCTAATGTGCCTATTAAATTCGTGTTTGTGAACCATATATAGGCTTGGCTATAATATTCAAATGAAATACAGGTAAGAAAGTACACCCCATTCATAGTTGTAGAAGCAGATGGTGATAAGCTGTCTGGGTCAACCGGCATTAATGCTGTTACAGGGTGAGTGTCATTCTGAATTATGTGTCTTCTTTATTTTTTTTTCTTTTTCTCTCTTTTTTGGATAATTTGAGATCTAATTCCATTTGCACGGGTATATTTTTGGGAAGAATTCCACAATGGAGAAGACACCCATGACTACTCCTGTCTTCACTCAAGTAATTGATTCTGAAATGTCCAAAGTGTCTATTCAAATAGTTCTTCCATCTGAGAAAGATATGAGCAGGTGAATTTCATCCACTGTATTCTATTATATTCTTAAATAGTAAAACTGAAACTATGTAAAATAAATTTTTCATTTTATTGTCAAAGCCGTGGCTGGATTTCTTTGATTACAATATAATTGCCGAGAGAAACCAAACCACAATAGAATAAGCTAAAACTCCCTTATTACATGATGTAAGCAATTGACAGGTAGTCTGTATTCTTGACCAGCTTACCAGATCCCAATCAAGAATCAATTAGCTTGAGGAAAGTGGAAGGAGGCATTGCTGCAGTTTCAAAGTTCAGCGGAAAACCTACAGAGGATATTGTTTGTGAAAAGGAAAAAGCACTTCGTTCCAGTCTTATTAGAGATGGTCTTAGACCTAAAAATGGTTGCTTGCTTGCTCGCTACAACGATCCTGGTCGAACATGGAGCTTTATAATGGTATGATATACATATGATTCTTATCTGGTTTAATTTGCTTTGAACCTTTAATTTCGTGGTTTCTTCTGTTTTTTATTGCTTTAAGAATGAATTCAAACCTTCCGACAATCTTATTCTCATTACTTTTGTGTGGATTTAAGTTATGCCACATCATCAGAAGTCAAAAATAGGCTGACATCATCTCAGTGTCAACTTTAAAAGAAAGCAAGAACAAGACAAAAGTGGTCAACACTTGGTCGATATATGGACTCCGGCCAGCTCAACAAAAACATTAACTGCCAGTCGATAAGCCCATGGCATGAGATTTGAAAACTGTCAATCTGCAATTTTGTGTTACAGCCTGTGATTCTTGTGAATGAGGGGATTCCCTACTTCTTTTGTGTTACTTCTCTGCAATTTTCTTTGGATAGGATCAAGCGTTTTTGATACATCCATCATTATAAGCAGATCATTTCGAGTTATACCCCATCTAGTTTAAGGATGAAACTGGTTCGACGATAAAGAAATCTTGGTAATTTGTACACCTTCTTACCTTCTTGTTTTTTTTTCCTTTTACAATGCAGTTTAATAGGGGAACAAGTGCTATGCAACATTATGTGGCAACACGTCCAATGTTTATTGACATGGAGGTCATGAATGCAGACACTAGATTGGTTCTTGGTGACCAGGGTACATTACCTAGTCCTAGCAATGTTGCACATGGGCTTTCTTCATTGTACAAAGAAATCACAGGTTTGAAGGCTTGCAATTTATCTCAATGAAAGGGTGTTAGGACTCAATGAATTTGATGTACTTGTAACGATTGACCTACAGACACTGTTCGTAAAGAAGCAGCCACAATAATGGCTGTATTCCCTTTTGCAAATGATGTTATGTCAATTTTGGTTCAGGTATCTAATCTTCAACTCACTTATTCTCTTTTCTGTTCCGTATGTGTTTAGTGGCAATGCATCAAATGAAGTTAAGATACTAGGATCGTATTGGTTGGTAATGTTACAATAATGACGAGTTTCCTCCTGTGGTTTTCATGCAGCGAGTTTTGGAGCAGCGAGCTACTACACTTCTTGACAAACTGTTGCAGAAACCATCTCTTGTTAATCCACCTCCTATGGAAGAAGGCGGACTTCTGTTAGTGAGTTGATTACTGAGGCTGCAATTGTTCTTTAATACCTACATCAATTATGTTAAAGTTGGATTTTGACCCCAGTTGTGTTTTCCTGATGCTTCAGTATCTTAGAGTGCTAGCAGTGGCATATGAGAAAATGCAGGAACTTGCTAGAGACCTACACGCTGTGGGGTGTGGTGACTTGGAGGTTGAAGGTAACAGTTAAGAAAACATTGCTAGCTTCTTTTTAGATCAAATACCTGAACTCCCTGCCTGTGAGTTGGTTCTACATTGCCAAGGTTACACTTGATTAAATGGTACATAAGTTATGTTTATATTAGGCAGCTTTGTTGATTCAATATGGCCGTGATCTCCTTAAATGTTTATTTAAGGAGATGGATAGCGAAAGAGATATACAGTGCATTAAAAAGGCTTCAATATTCATGATGTTGGTGAAGAAACATGAAAGTTGCTTTTCTGGGCATGGTTAGATTGCAACTCGTGTAAAGAAGCTTGGCCGGATTTAAATTAGATAAAAAATTAAAAAATACCACAAAGTTTTCCAGCCCTAAAAGAAGGATTGAGACCATTTGCGTGCAATACTGTAACTGGGATTAACCTTGTCGATTTGTTCCAAATGCTGTAAAGGTAATTTTGGCTGCTTTTTGATTGTTAGATTTGCTCCAATAATTGAACTGTTCAATCATAGAGTTCTGTTTTTGCTTTTTTGTTTCTGTTTCTGTAAAATACTTTTGTTTTCGCAAGGAACATAACATTATTAGATAGCAGGATAGAAAAGGCAAAATGCATGGTTTATGGTCATATTTTATGAACAAAGTCCAATTTTTGTTTTCTCATTGTGCCAATTTTAGTAGTGAAGGTTGCACTTTCCAACTTGTTAAATAATAAATATTCATTCAGTTTCAATTTGTTATAGAGAGTTTATTTATAACAAGTTAATGAAGAACAGTCTTGATATTTTCAATTGAAAGCTAACATAACTGAATTTTTCTTTAAATTTCTTATTGGTTGAATTACAGTGTACTGAAATTTTTTTCACGTAGTTCTTTTACTTTTGTTCTGAAATCAGCTTTCTTTTTTGATACAGGCCTAACAGAGTTTTTGTTTCTTGCTCACGAAGATCAATATATTGAGCATGAGCAGGCCTCTCTGAGACAACTCTATAAAGCAAAGGTTTAACTCTCTCTCTCTCCCCCCCTCTCCCCCTCTCCCTCTTCTTTCTTTGGCTGTTGTTGACTTCGTTTTGGTGTTGTCAAACTCCCTACAACCAACTTTAACATGCAGATGGAGGAACTGCGTGCTGAAAACCCGCAATCATCCGAGTCAACTGGGTCAATTGGACGCTCAAAGGGAGCTTCATTAGCATCTTCCCATCAACAGATATCTGTTACCGTGGTGACAGAGTTTGTGCGGTGGAATGAAGAAGCAATTACCAGATGCACTTTGTTGTCATCTCAGGTAAATTTTGTCTAGGCATTTGATGTTTCTTTTATTTCTGAAAGTTCTAACATGTTTACACAATTGGTGCCGACAAGTGAATTCAAAATGCCTAGTTAAGCCCTTCTGCCATCCTGAAAAGTTGAGAGACTTTACCATGTACTTTGAAGTTCACTTTGTGATAATTCACTACGACATTTGAGCCTCTTGTAAATTATAGCATTTTTTTTCCCAAAAGGTTGTGTGTTATAAAGATCAAGTTACCATGCATATATTAAGTTATATATCCATCATGGAAATGTCATAATTTTGAGATGTATGTATATCTGAACCATTAACAAATGTATTGCATTTTTTATTTGGTATCAGATTCTCTTTGATTTTTTTGGTATGGAATTCCTTGGCAATACAATGTATTACGAGAATGACGTATCGTATCTATTTTCTTTCTTTGAACCAAGGTGCACCAGTTTCACAATGTATTAGCCAACAGGTTTTGTTCCTGTCCATGGAGAGACCAGAATAGAGTTTCTTTCTTCTTGTTATTCTATTCTTGTGCATCCCTCTTTCTGCCTCTGTATTCTCTTCGGCTGTAAGCCTTGCTCTTCTGTCTTCAGCTTTCCGGAAGGCAAGGACCATATATAAATTCTTAAAAGAAGATCTATTACCATTTACCAGTGGCGCTCCCACTTACGTGTTGTGTTAGAAGATACAGACGAAAGACAGGTTGAATCATTTTGAGTCAGGTGGACGGTGGAGGTTCGCTTTAATTGCTGATGATTTATCTTCGTCACTATGTAGCACAGATTTGTACAGACATGCTGAAATTACTCTCAGACCTCTTGAGGTTACTCGAAATTACTTAGATTGAAGTTCTGAAAACAATTGTTGTCAACCTCCCTTGAGGTGTTACAAAATCACTGCAACCAGCACCGTCGTCAACTTTTAGGTCAATCAAAAGAGTAGATAATATGAAGTGAAATGACGTAAACGACTCTATTAACTTTATAAATTGACTATTTTAACCAATTTTCCTTAGATATATAAAATTATTATGTAATATCCAAATCATAAGATTTCATTTTCTTTCTCTTCCCCCAACGGCCCTTCTCCCACTGCACCCTCCACACCACCAGTCACCACCCATTGTTAGGCCTTTACCTCTCTCTCTCTACCCACTAGGACAAAAAAAAAAAAAAAAAAAAACAGAATGACTACCTCCGGTTTGAATTTTCCTTGAATACTATGAAGTGAAATGACATAAATGACTATTAACTTTATAAATTGACTGTTTTAACCAATTTTCCTTGGATATATAAAATTATTATGTAATATCCAAATTATAAGATTTCATTTTCTTTCTCTTCCCCCAATGGCCCTTCTCCCACTGCACCCTCTACACCACCAGCCACCACCCATTGTTAGGCCTTTACCTCTCTCTAAAAAAGGACTACTTCTGGTTTGAATGACTCGGCTGATGATGGCTAAAACAATGTTTGGAGGGTACTGTGGGTTTTTTGGAAGAGATATTAATGGAGGAATTGCCCATTAATTTGAACTGGTGATGGAGGTAAATAATGATATATTAGTGGTGTTTGAAACCATATGTTGTGACCATCTATGTCTCCTTCAACATGCAATTAAGCTAGCTTTCTCTCTCTTGCATGTTACACAACATTTATGACGAAGTATATAGGACAATTTGGAACAAGTAATATCGAGTTTTGAGTGATCTAAATAGTATAATTTTGTAATTAATGAAAGATGTGTGTTTATATATATGTATTGAATATGCCCCAATGTATAAGTGGCTGTAGAGATTGTACGAAAAGTAGTGGCATGCTTCCGGTGCTTGTTGTCGGACATGTACACACAAATTTCGTATCTGCAAATTAAAGAACGAAATATGGGGCAAATAATAATTTATTGATTTTTGAAAATTCGAGTACAATCCTCTGAGGTATTCTTTATAAAAGAAAGAAAGTATCATCTGATTCGATCTCCTTTGTTGGTTGGATCCAAGGGCTGTTGGAGCTTGATCTTGAATCGGGTTGTTGACAATCTTCTTCAACTATTTGTAGTTGAGGAAGACTGCCGATGATTTCTGATCGAGGGTTGACGAAGCTTGATCTCGAACAGTGTTGTTTAGTGATTCTTCAAACTTGTTGAATCACGGAGAAAAGAATGGAACGATTTTGATGTGCTTGTTTTTCTTTGCTGAATTTGTGGAAGAACGGCATGACTTTGGATGTGCTTGTTGTTCTTTGTCTTCAGATAATTTGTTGAATTTGTGGAAGAACGACATGATTCTGGATGTTCTTGTTGCTCTTCTTCTTCAAGGATTAGGTGTTGTGGATGAATGTCGATAGAGCTTTTGTATTTTAATCTTGAATTCTGGACTTCTGAGACTCTAAATTTCTGTACACCTTCTTCCTTCCTTCATGCCTCTATTTATAGACTTCTTGGATGAATAGGATGATGACATGTGTCCTTTCTTGATAAGGACACAATTATAACCGGCCTGGGCCGGTTATATTGTGATAATTATCCATTAAAATAATTATTCCTAAATATATTTAATTGAAAATAATTATATTTTTATTTAACTAACTGGGCTGGTCTAATTAAATAATTTAAGTTGACCAAGTTTGGGCCAATTAAATAATTTAATTAAATATGAGACCCATATTTGATGGACCAATTTGTCAAAACAAAAGCCCATGAAATTTTAGTGTCTACAGGACAAATTCAAATGGGCTGTGGGGCTTCAATTTGGGTGGATTGGTGGTGGAGGACGATGATTTCGATTGGCGGCGAAGGAGGAGAATTGCTCAATTGGGAGTGCAATGGTGACAGTAGTGTCTAAGTTGATGATGGCAATGAGAACCGCTGGGTCAGTTTGGTAAATATGGAGGGTGAGTAGAGGGGGTGGTGGGTTCTGTTCATTTTAGGTCTGTCCAAATGGGTGGCTGCAGCCTGCAGTGATGGTGAAAAAAGGATTGAAAAGAGAGAGAGAGATGATGGTGGTTGTGGGTGTCACGCTGACGGTGGCGGCGGCGGCGGCGGCAATGGTGGTTGTGGCAATGGCCATATGTGTCGGTGGTGGTGGCATTGAGGAAGAGGAGAGGGAACCGCATATGGAGAAGACGGGGGTGTAGAGAGTTTAAGAGGGTAAATTGGTCATTTTTTGTTACATTTCTTACATAACCAGTATGGTAGTAAATTATAAAATTCAGTCAGTAATTTGATAAATGCACAATGGATTTTTAACTTGTTAACGGTTCCCAACTCAGAGGGGGTGTCAAAGTGATCTTTCAAAAACTTAAATCTGATGGTAAATTTGAAAAAACTGGGGGGGTGGGGGAGGAGCACCAAATGTGGGAGGTGAAAGCTGTGGACACAATGATAAGTTGTTTGGTATTTGCAGCTGGCATTGAGTTTTTCTGTCATCTCCACTGGATAATTTCTTGCAATACTATATTCAAGTACTTTCTTTATTCTTTTTTATTTTTTATTCAGATGTATACCTGTCTAATAGTTTAGATTCTTGTGTGCATACTTCTATATTGAATTTCATCGGCATTATAGTTTTAGATAATTTGCAGTGTTTTTGCTTATTGATTCTTCAAATTGTCTTTGTATAGCCTGCTACCCTTGCAGCCAACGTAAAAGCTGTATTCACTTGCCTGCTTGACCAAGTAAGTTGGCTGACCTAATTTCCATATTCTGAGTTTTTAATTGTATATTGTGGCATTGATTTTATCTATGTCACGGGCACATAATTCTATTTTTCTTCTCGCCTTCCCTTTCCTTTGTCCTTCTGCAGGTTGGTCAATACATAACAGGACTCCAGCGAGCTAGAGACAGCCTGACTGAAGCTGCAGCTTTGAGGGAAAGGTTTGTGCTGGGCACAAAACTTAGTAGGAGGGTGGCTGCTGCAGCTGCAGCTGCTTCTGCTGTAATTACTTGATCAATCCTTTTTCTTTTTTTATTTTCTTTTGGTCCATGCATTCTGAATAGTCTTTTGTCTGTACTCTATAAATTCATTAAAATAAGCTCTTTTTTAAAATTTGAGAATAGTTTGAGTTATGATAGATGGTTTGGTCATGCGTAGGCAGAAGCTGCTGCTGCTGCTGCTGGTGAAAGCGGTTTTAGATCATTTATGGTGGCTGTACAATGTTGTGGAAGCAGTGTGGCTATTGTTCAGCAAGTATGATTTTGTTACCAAAGTTTGTGGGAGAATGTTCCGATACTTCTTTGTAATTAAAATTGATTTGAACTTTTCTTCTGCAGTATTTTGCAAATTCTATATCTCGGCTTTTACTACCTGTTGATGGTGCACATGCTGCTTCCTGTGAAGAAAACAGCTATGTCCAGTGCAGAGGGTGCTGCTCACAAAGGGCTTCAACAATGCATTGAAACTGTTTTGCTGAGGTTTGTGATTTAATGAATTTGCCTAAAAAATATTTAGGTGTATGGCACATGCTCTTAATAAAGCCACTTTTTCAGTGTCTGCTGTATGTTATGGTGGTTACTTCTAATATGGTAGTTTGTATTTTTGCTATTCTGCTGATGTTTGGATTCGTGTCTTTATTGTGATGATCAAATATTCTTTTTGACTCGAGGTCCTCCATGTATGCTTGAGGTATATTGTTGTTCATCCTCATGCTAGATTTTCAAATATATTTTCTTATGGAACTTGTGCAGGTAGAGCGATTGCTGTCAGCTGAACAGAAGGTAACAGATTATCGGTCACCTGATGATGGTATTGCTCCTGATCATCGCCCAACAAATGCTTGTACAAGGTATATCTGAGTATACAAAGTCTGAACTTGTACTTGAATTATCAATTTGTGAGTGTTCTATTCCAAAACTGCATGGATGCGTAGTCAACCCGTGATGTTTCACGGACCATCTGATGTGAATCAGTATTATTCTTATGGCATTTGAATTGTAACTACTACTTTTTTCATAACACTGACAAGATGCAGTCATTTCTTCGTTTCCAGGACCTTACGTTTTTTTACCTCTCATCAGTTTTCTGGTTGGCTTATTACTCCACTCTTCATGGCAGATCTGCCCCTTATTTGATATGTTGTTTCCATTACCAATTAACCTCTCTCTTCGCTTGGCCAGAGTTGTAGCATACCTATCTCGTGTGCTTGAATCGGCATTCACTGCACTAGAAGGTCTTAACAAGCAAGCTTTCCTTGCTGAATTGGTACAATGTTTTTTCTCTCTGTTATCTTTTATTACACAGTCTATTCTATGTTACTCTCCAACTTTTTCTGCCTTACTCGGATAGCATGTGTGCGTATTTCGTATGCAGAAGTCCATAAGTTTCAATGATGTTTGAATGTCTTATCTATCATGATGTTGCATAGATGATATTATCACTGCTAATTGATACAATTTTCTTTCTTCTGGTTATGATCGCATCTATGCAAATAGGTTCCTGCATGCATTTGTCGTTTCTCGAATAAACATGTGTTGCACATGCTAATCCATAAGCATACATTAATGCATTGTTTGTGTTTTGTCTAATGATTGATAAAACAGGCCAACCATTTAAAAACAAAAAAACAAAAAAATTGACAAAATACATGAAGCCACCAAACTATGGTCATAATAGTTTAATTGAAAGATCCTGTTCAGTTAAACAGCGACAAATAGCTTGAATTAATGGACACCAACCTATCCTACATTTCTGAGTCTGTTTGCAATGGCTTTGATATGGAAATTCATCTTCTGTTATATTTTTCGGCAAATTTTCCTTTTGTGTTCACTTTTAACAAGGTGAATCTGTCGATAGGGTAACCGCTTGTACAAAGGGCTGCTAAATCATTGGCAGAAGTTCACTTTTAACACCTGGTAAAGCCTCGCTCTTATCTTTCATAGTTTATTATTATTGTTGTTGTTGTTGTTGTTAGGGTAAAGTGCAAGAAAACCCCCTTCAACTATGTTGCTAGTGCAACTAACCCCCCCTGAACTACAATAAACCCCCCTAAACTAATGATTTGGTGCAGGCAACTACAATCTTGTCAATTGCTGTTATCGGAATTGTTAAAAGAATATTTTACCCACGATCAAGACGCCACCGTTTCACTCAACAACTCCAGTGAAAAAAAAATCTCAACAACCAGTTATATGCCGACACCTCACCCAATTTAATATAAAGAGAAACTGTGATATTTGAATATTCAATTATTCATATATAAGCCATATGTGTGTGCGTGTGTATATATATAGATATCGGGTGAAATATAAGGGTCAACCGACACGAAGGAATTTCTCTCTACCACTCTCTCTCTCTCTGTTATTCTCAATTGATCTCTACCAGCTCCGATGATGGCGAAGCAGCAGCGACAACCAACATATCCCACGAAGGCGAAGATTTGGCAAGGAATGTGACGGTTACAGATTTTGATGGTGGCAGTAGGAATCAGTCCAGTGGCGACAACGGCGAAAGGCTTAACCAACGAAGATAAAGGCCTGATAATTGGCAGCGGCGATGGCGATGGCGATGGCTGTGAGAATGCTGTGATGGTGTTTCGACAGCGAGACCCGCCGACGTGGCTTTTGTAGTGGCAGTGGTTTCAATTAAAGCTCTGTTTTATGAGTTTGGCGATGATGGGAGACAAACATATTGATGGAGTATTGCGATTGGGTTTTGCTTGGTGATCGGTGACAAAAAGAATTTCATGGAGTATTGCAATTGGGTTTTGCTTTGTGATTGGTGACAAAAAATTTCTTTGCAATTGTAGTGGCAGTGGTTTCAATTGGCAGTGGTTTCTTTGCAATTGAGTTTACCTGACAAAAATTTTCATGGGATTTTGCGATTGGGTCTTAGGACTAGATTTTGGGGTCTTGTGGTTGGGTTGCCGACAATCGCGATCCATGAGAGCTTGTATCGGAGAGAGATGACAGAGCGATATTTTGTTGAATGACTGAATGATACACTGTGTGTGTGTGTGTGTGTGTATATATAGGAAGAGAGAGATGGAAAATACAATGGCTTAGTCTGCAGTTCCCATCTCTGTCCATTGATTGTGTACGAACAACATACGAGTCCACACTCGCAGAGAGATAGAGAGAATTGGAAGGTTCAGTCTGATCGAGGAAGATGGATTTGGAAAAGAGAAATAGGGCATGTTTGGTTGGGGTTTGGGTTTAATGGAAATAAGAGGGGTATTATGGTCTTTTAGCTTTTGTAAGGGTTGTATGGACATTTAGTTAAAATTGGTTTGTCAGGTGATAGGCATGGGAGATTTCGATTGTCAGAATGGGCAATCTGCACCTAAAGTCGATATTTCAGGGGTTTTTTCTGCCACTTTTGTAGTTTAGGGGGGTTATTTGCCATATGGGTCATAGTTGAAGGGTTTTTTTTGCACTTTACCCTATTATTATGTTAATGTATGCTTACAAATAAGGGGAAAAAAGAAAAAAAAAGGGTTGCATGCCTATTGACATGCCAAAATTATGTCTGCATATTGAGGAAGCGCGTCTGTAAATGTTGGTATTAAAGAAAAAGAAAGGAAAAATTTTGAAACCTCTTTTTTTTTTTTTTTTGCAAAACTAGATAAAAATAATAATTATAATTGCTGTTTTATGCAATAAAATGGTGATTAATTTGGACAATGACAGTTTTTTTTGGTTTCCCCATGAGTTCTATTTTTCTCGTTAGTTTGGAAAGTATCAAACATTGATCAATTTATTAAAACTTTGGAGGAAATTATTACAGTCCCTTGTTATCAATCTCTCTCTTGCTCACTCCCTCTCATATTCACATGCACCAGTCATTTCTGATGCATTCTCCATGTTATTAGTCTTTTTTCTACATGTTTGTTTGTTAACGCACCTAACATCGAAGTTTGATGTCCCTTCCCAAGGTTTGTCCTTAGCTAAAGTTGAGTTAGAAACATTTACTTGGAGAGATTGTTGGAAAGAAGCCACTATTACATAAATCCCTACTGATATTAACTCTTCTTGATCCCATTAGTCTGAGTTTTCCCTGCTGGAAGAGCTAGAGGCTGAGTTAGAACTTCTTTGTTGTATGAACTTTTCAATCACATGGATTTTGACATGGTGAACGAAAGAAGGTATTCGATCACTCCCTGGCTCCCTCTGTCCCAAAATAATTTTCCCTTTTAGGGATTTCAACTTTGAAAGGGACATGCATTTAATGCACGTCTCTCTTTGAAATTCTAAATTTAACCTTCAAAACATAAAAGATTTTACATTGTTATTTTTTGGGGAAGTTTTCAAAATCTAGGGATAATTTGGATAGCTGAAACCTTTTCATTGATTGTTCAAAAGAGGACATGTACTATTGGACATTCCAAAATATAAAGAGGGTTTGAAGATTACTAACACATTTACTATTGGAAATCCCAAAATATAAAGAGGGTCTGAAGATTATTAAAGTGGACATTTACTAGTTTGGACATCCCAAAATGATGGAGGGTTTAAAGATTATCTTTAGTGTGAGCATTGCTTGACAAAAGTCGGGTTTTCTGCCAACCTATTTTTGCTTATAAATGACTTTTCTCAGAAATATTATTATCATCAAATTTGCAGCAATTATTGTTCAATGTGTGTGCGTGCGTAAAAAATTATATTTATCCACCCTATTTTGATTTGGTTCTGCTGAGCACATTTGCATTTTTATTACTTTCTTTTCTGGTGTAAGCAGTTCTAATTCTAGTTCCGACTAATCTCAAAAGCAACAACAATTAGGCTGTATTTGTAGTATGAGAAAAATAATCCTATAATGGTTTCAAATTATTGTCAGTTTGTCACTATTGTCTTTGTTGTGGAGTCAAATGGTCTGGCCTTCGTTAAATGAATTAATGTTTGGTCAATAGGACTTAAGTTGGTAAATTTCGTACAAAACAGATACTGTATTTTCAATTTCAAGTTGGTGTTTCTAAAAGTTGTTGAGTGAGTTAGGTGTTACAACAATCCAAGTTCTTTATGGAGATTCCAAAGATTCAGCAAGGTAAGAAAGTAATTTCCGCACTCAAGGATTCACCCACCAAAATAGGATTTCTAATCTTACATTGACGTCAATATATCCTTAAAATTGTGTTCTGAATGCATCAAAGTATTTTAATTTGAAAAACCTAAGTAAGGGGCAATGATCAATTGAAGGCATCGATTGACCCTCACTGGGGTAGGTTGAATCAATCGAAGTTCAGTTGGATCGGTCAAACTCTGCAGATGGCACAATGGCAGTTTTCAATTTGGTTTCAAACACTTAAAACCCTAATTCTTTTTGGCTTTGCAATTACCTAAGTTTGTGTAAACATAGAGGCATATAGAGGCCACATAGAGCATCCAAAGCATATTGAGATTTGAGAGCATAGGCAATTGATTGCAGTTTCTTTTCTTTTATTCATCATCATTGCATACGGGTGGTGAGTGTTTGTTAGAGTGTTGATTATCTACAATCAAAGTGCTTCAAAGAGATCAATACCAAAATTCCACTCTAAACAGAACTTTTTTGGACAATTAGTGGAGATCAAAAATAAAAGTTAATGATGGAATTTTGTGAGTAGCGAATTCGTAGATTGTCGGCAGCAGATCCAAAGACCATCTGACGTGAGTCTGAGTTTGAAGCAACTAGGTATTTTTTGGGTTTTAGAAACTGATACCTAAATTGTGAATGAATGTCTTTTCATTGATCTGCATGAACTAGCTCTTGTGGTTTTTACCCTATGTTTTTATTTTTTATTTTGTTTATTTTTTATTTGACGTAATAGCAGTGTTTTCATGTAAATTTCCATTTACTTTATATGTTTTTGCACCATCATGCTGATTATTGCTGTGGTTTATGATTTTTAGTTAAGATTTTAATTTCAATTGAAACTAGTTACTTAAAATTTAAATTTCTGTTTTAAGTCATCAATAAAATTTTGAGACCCATCCATTCCCCCTCGCTTGTCTAAGGGCAGTTTGGGGTTTAGTGTACTTTGACGTATCAGAGCTTAGTCTCTCACAAAGAGTTATTAGTGATGTAGGGATAGGTAAGAGCAGATTCGATCCCATTATGGGTAAAATTTCTAGTAAAAATTACTATCGAGTCCCTACTTTTCTCATTAAAAGACAAATAAGCCCTACAAATTTCCTTTAGTACCAATAAGTCCTACTTTTGAAAAATACGTCCTATATATTCCTTTTAGTTTTTATTAATTAATGGATATTGCATTATGAGTTTAAATAATAATTAATTTAAATGAAACTCAATTAAGAATCTTATTATATATTTAAAAAAAAAAGAATTATGAAGTTTTTTTCTTTTCTTTTTATTTAAATGTTATATCTAATATTATAAAGTTATAAATGGATGATTTGAGCCCAAATTTTATATCTAATTTAGCAAGGGTATAAATGAAATATTTAGCGATTTAGAACTTAAATAGAAAAATGTTTCAAAAGTAGGACTTATTGGTCCTAAAGGAAATTTATAGGACTTATTAGTCTTTTAATGGATAAAGTAAAACTTGGTTGTAATTTTTACAAATTTGTATCATTGCCATCTATCATTGAGCTTCTTTTTGCATTATTTTTTTTTTTCGCCTGAAGTTTCTTTTCACATCATATTTTATCTTCAAAACAATTAGATTGAATTGACTGCTGATATAATTCTGAATTTTAACCAGTCAACTTATTTGCTGTTGTTCTCCTCACCATTTTGCTTCACTTAATTGGCCGTTGATTTTGTTTACAGTGGAGGGCTGAGGCTGAAGCGTGACATAACCGAGTATGGTGAATTTGTGCTTCGTTTTAATGCTCCTTCTGTGGATGAGAAATTTGAATTGTTGGGCATGTAAGTTGTAGGGGTTTGTTAGATCTCAGGCTTTTCATTTATCACTCTATTTTGATTTACTGATTTAATTTTGCCTCCAGCATGGCCAATGTCTTTATCGTTGGTCCTGAAAGTCCCTCCACCCTATTTGAGGGTACCCCAAGTATTCGGAAAGATGCAGAGAGGTAAATGTAATATTGGCGATTTTTTATATATTAAAACCCAAAATGAGTAGCACTGACTGCAGAATTTTTGTAGAACATAATGACTTCATTTCTATGGCACGGTTTTTCCACTAAATAAAATGCATTAAAGAAAATCTCATGCTATTACTTATATCAACTGTTTATTTGTGAACAATACAACTTTAGGAAAAATCATGGGTTGATTTACTCGCGTTCAACTACAATTATTGTCCATAGCTGAATGCTTCAGGAAGGAATCACCTACTGCAGTTAAGGCTTTTAGGTACATAACTTGCATCAGTAATGTGTTAGGGGGAAGAAGAAGAAAGACAATGACATCACACCTTTAATGTCTATAAATTATCTATTCTTTTCTTAGTTGGCGACTCTCTCCTCCTGTACCCATATTCCCTTTATGAGACGTTAAACTTTTGAATTGACTGCAAATTCAGGTTTATCCAAGCTTAGAGAGGACTACAAGAGTGCAAAGCTTGCAGCCAAACTCAGCTCCTTGTGGGCTAGCTCTAGTTAGTGCAGTGGCACGATGAAGTTCAGTTCACACTCCACGTTACTTCGACTGTTTACGTCAAGCCCACTAAATTGTTTCTTTAATAATTGAAATAACATGTTTGCCTTACTTTTCCATTGATAATCCTTTTATTTTGTGTGCGTGTTTATCATTAGTGTGTGCAATTTATTCAAACACAAAACTGATCGGTCAAGGCACAGAATGGGGCGATTTACCGAAAATTCTTTTCGAAATACCATAGCATCACCTACTCCAGCGACTGCCATGATGCTAAATGTCACAGGGGTAAATTCTGAACACGAATCTAGAGGCCTGCGATGGCACTAAGTCAGAAATATGAAACATTTTTTTCTGAATTTCTAACTTAACTCAGCGAACTAACACTTGCTGCCTAGAACACACAGCAAATAAAACATTCTCACACACAAGTATAGTTGCAAAAATGTAAAGGCAATAATACCCACGAATTTACAGAAGCACAAGGCTTTTAACCTTTTACTATTATTCACAAAATAGTACAAGGAAAGGCCTCAACCTGCAGAAGCATACAATAGTCTCTCACAACACAACTCTGTGTCTCACTCTCAATCTGCCCTCTCAACAGAACCCACATTAGCAATATATAGGCAAATTTTCAAAACTGCCCACAAACTGTCCACTAAAGTGGTGGATGACACCCCCATCCACCCACAACAAAACTGTCCACAAACTGTCCACTAAAGTGGTGGATGACACCCCCATCCACCCACAACTACCCACTAAAGTGGTAGATGACACCCCCATCCACCTAGGGTCATGTTGGCACCCACTAAGTGTGCCAACACTACATATGTAGTTGACAAACCCAATTACTAGCTTGTTGGCATGGTCTGCTCATGCCACGTGTCCACAGGAAGTTGCACTCAGCATAGTGGAAGAAACCACCTCCAACCGCCTGTGTGTTGTCCTCTCAAATCTGTGACACATGGATGGGAAGTTATTCAGCACACTCCCATTCCCCACATGAGTGGGAAGTGCTAGTAACTTCCCCCAACCAACTGAGCCCACTTAGTGGGAAGTGTTAGTAACTTTCCCCCAACCAACTAAGCCTACTTAGTGGGAAGTGTAACTTCCCCCAACTACCTGAGCCCACTTAGCCTGTAACCATAAACCATGTCTGAGTCCCCTGAGCCAACCTTGCACGCTGAGCCTTGCCTACGTCCACTGCCTTGTGCCCATGTCCCTGACTTAACTATGCCACACGTCCATGACTTGTGTGGTCCATGCTTTAAGCAACATCTGAGCCAACCTTGTGAACTTAGCCCGTACCAAGCCCACTAATCTGCACCCACATATAAATGTCTCAAAGTGCACGACATCCAAATCAAGTGCCGTCTGCGCCAACCATCTTCTATGGATTCAAGGTACCTCCAATAAAGATCCCGAGCCAAAACTCCAAGCTTCACTTTTTCGCCATATTTACGAAAATGCCACTAGACACCCCCAGTGCACGCTGACAGCATCCTATGGCTGTCATGGGGCTTGTCAAAGTCCAAATCCCGTAACACTAAACCATCATTCCACATTTGCTACCACGTACCACCATACCACCTCTCTCTCCTCTCCTCGCTCTTAATTCTTAACACCAAATCATATATACATTATATCTATATCTATACTATTATTAAATGTGCAAAGTGTTCCAGTATTTCAGTATTTCAGTATTTATTTATTTGTATAAAAAAATATTTATTAATCGATACAAAAATAATTTCTATAAAATTTTAAAAATTACCTAATAAAATCAATCACATTCTATATAAAACTCTTATTTTTAGTTATTTTTTATGGATAATTATAGTTTCTATAAAACTCTAAAAATTGCCTAATAAAATCAATCCCATTATATATAAAACTCTTATTTTTAGTTATTTTTTATAGATAATTATCACAATATAACCGGCCCGCCCAATTATGATTATGTCATTATCTGAAAAGGACACATGTCATCATCCTATTCATCCAAGAAGCCTATAAATAGAGGTATGGAGGAAGGAAGAATGGGTACAGAAATTGAGAATTCTAGAAATCCAGAATTCCAGAGTAAAATACAGAAACTCTGCCAAAGAGTTTCAGTATTTTAGTATTTATTTATTTATATAAAAAATATTTATTAATTGAGTTGAATTTCAGAGCAAATACAAAAGCTCTGTCAAGAGTTTTCAGTATTTATTTATTTATATAAAAAAAGATTTATTAATTGATATAAAAAGAGTTTTTATCTATATTATTATTAGATGTGTAAAGAGTTTCATTATTTATTTACATAAAAAATATTTATTAAATGATATGAAAAGAGTTTTTACTAAAAAAAAAAAAAAATCTATAAAACAATAAAATCTACATAATAAAATTTAAATTAATCTATTTATCTATTTATTATTATCCATTTTTAATAAAAGAAAATCTAATTAGACAAGATTTATTAATATAAAAAATATTTATTAATTGATATATAAAATAAAATAATTTTTATAAACCTCTACCACAAATTAGCTTTTATTATGAGTATCTTAATAAAATTAAAACTAATTAGACAAGTATATATTTAAAGAAAATAAAATAATTTCAATAAAACTCTATTACAAAATACCTATTTTATTATCAATAAAACTCTATCAACAAAGATATGTTTAAAGAGTTTGTATAAAACTCTAATACAAATTACCAATTTATCAATTTATCATGAGTTTTTTAATAAAAGGAAACCTAATTAGACAAGTATTATTAATATAAAAAAATTATTTATTAACTGATACAAAAGAAGGCTTTTAAAGAGTTTTTAAAACACAAATTACCTATTTATCTATTTATTTTGAGTTTTTTTACTAAAAGTAAATCTAATTAGACAAGAATTATTAAAATAAAAAATATTCATTAATTGATATAAAAAGTGTTTTTTAAAAGAGTTTATATTAAACTCTAACACAAATTACCTATTTATTACAAGTTTTTTAATAAAAGAAAATCTAATTTACCTCATAAAACCAATCACATTCTATATAAAACTCTTATTTTTAGTTTTTATTTTTTATTTTTATGGATAATTATAGCTTTTTATAAAAATCTAAAAATTATCTAATAAAATCAATAATATTCTATATAAAACTCTTATTTTTATTATTTTTTATGAATAATTATCACAATATAACTGGCCTGGCCCAGTTATGATTATGTTATTATCTGAAAAGGATACATGTCATCATCCTATTCATCCAAGAAGCCTATAAATAGAGGTATGGAGGAAGGAAGAAGGGGTATAGAAATTGAGAATTCTAGAAATCCAGAATTCCAGAGTAAAATACAGAAACTCTGCCAAAGAGTTTCAGTATTTTAGTATTTATTTATTTATATAAAAAATATTTATTAATTGAGTTGAATTTCAGAGTAAATACAAAAGCTCTGTCAAGAGTTTTCAGTATTTATTTATTTATATAAAAAAAGATTTATTAATTGATATAAAAAGAGTTTTTATCTATATTATTATTAGATGTGTAAAGAGTTTCATTATTTATTTACATAAAAAAATATTTATTAAATGATATGAAAAGAGTTTTTACTAAAAAAAAAAAAAAATCTATAAAACAATAAAATCTACATAATAAAATTTAAATTAATCTATTTATCTATTTATTATTATCCATTTTTAATAAAAGAAAATCTAATTAGACAAGATTTATTAATATAAAAAATATTTATTAATTGATATATAAAATAAAATAATTTTTATAAACCTCTACCACAAATTAGCTTTTATTATGAGTATCTTAATAAAATTAAAACTAATTAGACAAGTATATATTTAAAGAAAATAAAATAATTTCAATAAAACTCTATTACAAAATACATATTTTATTATCAATAAAACTCTATCAACAAAGATATATTTAAAGAGTTTGTATAAAACTCTAATACAAATTACCAATTTATCAATTTATCATGAGTTTTTTAATAAAAGAAAACCTAATTAGACAAGTATTATTAATATAAAAAAATTATTTATTAACTGATACAAAAGAAGGTTTTTAAAGAGTTTTTAAAACACAAATTACCTATTTATCTATTTATTTTGAGTTTTTTTACTAAAAGTAAATCTAATTAGACAAGAATTATTAAAATAAAAAATATTCATTAATTGATATAAAAAGTGTTTTTTAAAAGAGTTTATATTAAACTCTAACACAAATTACCTATTTATTACAAGTTTTTTAATAAAAGAAAATCTAATTTACCTCATAAAACCAATCACATTCTATATAAAACTCTTATTTTTAGTTTTTATTTTTTATTTTTATGGATAATTATAGCTTTTTATAAAAATCTAAAAATTACCTAATAAAATCAATAATATTCTATATAAAACTCTTATTTTTATTATTTTTTATAAATAATTATCACAATATAACTGGCCTGGCCCAGTTATGATTATGTTATTATCAGAAAAGGACACATGCCATTATTCTATTCATCCAAGAAGCCTATAAATAGATGCATGGAGGAAGGAGGAAGGGGTACAAAAATTGAGAATTTTAAAAATTTAGAATTCCAAAGTAAAATACAGAAATTCTTCCAAAAAATTTCAGTATTTATTTATTTATATAAAAAAATATTT